CAGGAAATCCTAATGGGTACCCACCACCGGGGGAGGGTTATCTTAGACTCCTACCGACTAAAACCTGACGGTGTTCGATCTGCTCACCATGTCGGACTTACGGGGACACTTACAGATTCTTCTGCGATCCGACAGTGATGGGTCCAACTGGGCGCCGAACCACATGTTGCTTTTTTTGTAATATCTAGTGACTGCACGAACAAGTCGTGCGCCTGATGGTAAGTTACACGCCTGTCCATGACAATTACAGTGCCACTCAGAATTTTAAATCGCAAAGATCTGAGGGGCACTGCCGCTGCGCCCGTCACCCTGAGACATACGTGGACAAGTCCCATGTGCCAGTAATGCTGACATTACTGCTTGGCGGCAAATATAGATAAGGTGGCAGTACTTCTCTGGACAAACTCTTTCACAAGGAGCTCTACTGTTAGTAACTGCTGCTTTTCGGGAAGAGTTTTTGTCTGCCCCGTCAACAATCTTGAAAGGCAGACGTGGAACACGTGAAGTCTGCGGCTCATGGACCCATGTCACGGGGGCTTTCGCCACCCGTTACTCACCTATGTCGGCTGTTGCAGAGCCATAGCTTTCCTGCGACCAACTCTCCGATGACTGTCCTTCCCTGGACCAACTCATTCACAGCTGTATTGCTACTGTGTATCAACAACTACTCCTAAATACTCCTAAATCTGACAAATACCTAAATAAATTAATTCGCATTAGTAACGTATGTTAAAATTCTGCCAATTATAATGATTAATTCATATTTTGTCTTAAAGTTTCGTCTCATTCAAATATACGTCATCAAAGCCGTACAAGGAGATACTATTTTGGACGTATAACGGTCATCGGTCCGTTACAACCGATTCGTGGGCGGGTGTGGGTGACACACAGTCGAAACGGTACCAAACACATACAACGACCTGTTCTTATACCGTTTACTTAGAAAAAATATAATAAACGAACTGTAATGAAGTTATTTTATGCAATAGGATTGCCATAACCAACAATCACCACTTTATAGTCCCATCCAAATCCGCTAGATGGCGTTGAACCATTTTATGTAAATTTTAATATAAGAGTCACTTTTTTTATACAAATAAATAAGTGCGTATTTGACCTCCATCTAACATGATGGAAAGTGACGATGAGGTCGTCGATTCACACCTAAATAATGCCTATTCACTCTCGCCTTGAAAAGGTCCAAGTTATAGCGTCCGGGGAACAAGTCTGCAGGCAGGGAATTCCGCTCTAGACGCTCGCTATACAAATGTGGAAGCGGAACGCTTCGTGCGAATCCGGGGATTATCCACAACATAGGGGTGGAACCCCAGCCCACGTCTAGTCCCCCGATGATGGAAAGGGGGAGGCGGAATCAAATTATGCAATTCCATCGCACACTCTCCGTGATATATCCTGTAGAATACCGATAAGCAGGCAACTTTACGGTAATCAGTAGCTCTTCAAACTAATTATTAAAATCTATAACGTCTACGGTGTTTCTTAATTGTTCTAGTAGTTTATTACACATTTTATGGCCATTGTTAGTCTGCTTCATGCTGTCCGAGCAAAAGCGAAACAAGTAACTACTTTTCCCCCTCTTATTGCAATGACGTAAAGCTCTTTCCGATCGGCTTAGGCCACAGTTACTAGGCACGCGAGTACTGACGAACGTGTGTTCGGACGAATTCGTCCGAAATCCTCGCCTGTGCAAGGCGGTTACACTGCGCGCGTTTTCTGATAACATTAGTTGTAATTGCTTATGTAGTTTGTGTAAACCCCACATCAAAGTAAATACAAAATCGTACTTACCCCACCCACACTTTTTTATACCCACTTTTGCGGAGAAATATTCCTATTATGATCATTTATCTCATATCCAAACAAACACTCTTACAACAGGCGTTTGTTATAGGACAAATTCCAAAGATAGATATAAACCGCAAAGGTCTCAGGGGCACTCTCACCTTGCGAGACATAAGCTGACAAGTCTCATGTGCCTATAATTTCACCAGCACCTTTACCCTTCAAAACCGGAACGCAGTAATGCTCACATTAGTGCTTGTCGGCAGAAATAAGTAAAGTGGCAGTATTTCCGTGGACCAACCCTTTCACAAGGAACTCCACTGCTAAACAATGAAATTACTGCGAGCCTTACTGTAATACTAAGTTAAGCCTAACTGTAGTACTAACTAAGTAGCCTTAGAATTAATACAGGCACTAAATTGATCATATTTAACAGGCAATCAGAAGCGTATTAAAATTACAATTGTATTAACAATAAATTAGACTATGGGGATATATACATTGACTTACAATTATATGGATGTCGGGTCCGCGCTAAAAAATGTCCGAACTTATAGGGCGTTAAAATCGTATACAGAGCGTCATTCACGCTTTAGTCTTCGTTTGTTCGACTGACAGCGAAGCAAGCAAAATTAGACCCTACTGCGATGACATTACAATTTAAATTCAACGTTTTAGCTTTTTCATATTCCTTTACATGTCACTACGCTTAAATAGGTTGACTTGGGACATTTTTTTCGTGGTCGTCCATTTATTTGTAAGTCAATGGATATATACTAAACTTCCCAAAGGAGTTCTTACTTACCAAAAAAATAATTGTCTTTTACAATAAACGTTTTTACCACACTGTGAGAACGAGCTTAATTTATATTACTGGTTAGAATAGAACAGAATAGAAATTTTAAGAGATTTTTTTTAAATGCAAATTTAAATAAAATAATTTTTATGAAGTTTTCGGTAATTTAATATACCAATGTAACGCAATAATATACAATTTCGAATAAGATAAATTTTTATTGAGTTTGAGGAGCTTTTATTACCACCCTAAGTTGCATTACATTTTTTTAATTCTTTCAGAAATTTTCCTTGACAATATTGCAATCAATAAATCGTAACTTCCGGTTTCTCTTGAAGCGTCGCTCAGTCTTTTTTTTAAGTTTAACACACAATTTTATGCATTTCCTTATTTTTGGAGGCTGATAAAATTATAATTCCTCAAATTAAGCATATTTAACTTCCTAGTACAGTCGTGGAAATTAAATTCGTACATTTTTTGTAATTTTTTTAAAATTCGCTCTACGAGCTGTACCCCACATCGACCGGTCATTTGGGACGAGTGAATCCGATAGATATTAGAATAAATGTGAGACAACGTGCTTAATTTCCATAACACGTGTTACGGAATTCGAAAACAACGACATTACCACAAACACCCAAACCCGAGACAGATAGAAAATTTAGTTTTTTTAAAATCTCGGAGCAAAAATTGTTGTTTATTATGTTAGTAATTATAGTTACAACGGGGTTGTTAGTATTCTACTAATAACCCTAGCTTTCAATTATTATTCACCCGATAAAATTTTCGTGAGTTGTGCACACGCCACACAAGATTATTAGAAATATTTTAAAACATCTATCATCAATCTACAGGCGAAAACGCGGTTATTTTTTACCGACTTCAAAAAAAGGGGGAGGTTCTCAATTCGATTGCTTTTTAATTTTTTTTTGTGTGTATGTTACGCGATAACTCATCTGCATTTGTAAACCTATTTTGAAGATTCTTTTCATTGTTGGAAAGTAGGTACCTCAGTAGTACCATTTAAATTGAAGAAAATATTCCTTTTTTTAAGGGGGTTTAATCCGGTTTCGCGCACTTTTCGGTAACCGATTTCAATAAACCTATTGAAACGTAATAGTGATTGCACGAACTTTTGAGGTCGGTTTTTTTAGTGCTCCGCATTGAGATCATACCAATGTACTTCTCTGGTATATTACTTTTGTTTCAGTATTCATTGAATAAACACTTTATACCAATCCAATATTACATTAATAGAAATATTGGATTTTGATAATAGTAAACAAATCATCTTCAGCGACTGTACTTTATAAAATTTCACTTGAACCAACTACAAGCGCACATGACCTTACAAGGTTTATTTTTTTTATAGCTACGCGAGGTTGAGACATTTAACAATTAAATTGCACTTCAAGTTAATCTCAAATTTATAAATATTTTGGTTTCGACTTGAACTGGATATTAACATTTTTTACTTTAGAGTCGCTACTTCCGTATTTACATAGTACATTACACCGCTTTCAGACTATCGATCAGAGCCATTTATTACAAATATTTAATATAATAAGACAGAATTTTGAGGAATTACGACTTGTGAATGTGAAAATTAGCAATCCTCTTGTGTTAGTGGTCCACGATTATACGGTTTGAATTTTGTGAGATGTATAGCTAAAGCTTTTTCTAATACGCAGTCTCTTAACTCCTTACAATTTTATCTCCTAGAATCCACCGTGACATTTTGTTCTTTTAGTCTCATCTATCTTCAAAAAAAGGAGGAGGTTTTCAATTCGACCGCACCTTTTTTTTTTGTATGGATGTTACGCGATAACTCCGGTATTTGTGAACCGATTTTCATGATTCTTTTTTTGTTGGAAAGAGGGTACCTCCATAGTGGTGCCATTTCATTTTGAAGAAAATCATCCACCTCTAAGGGTGGCTGTTCACGAATGAAAATTCATTTTTATAAATAGCGTCTAAATTTTACTATTAGGAGCAATTATTTTAATGGTTGATTTTGCTATTCTCCAATTCAAGGCGTTTTTCTCTCAATATACTTTGAGTAGTGAGAACCGAAAATGAATTCGGGCTTGCGCACTTTCTGGTAACCGATTTCAATAAAACTTGGCAAATAGATATATTTCCACGTACTTTTGAGGTCGGTTTTTTTAGTACTCTGTACTGAGATTATTATCTATCTATCTAATATAACCGGTTACCTATCACAAGCTAGAAATATGATTTACAGAATTTTGTTTCTCCGAAAACCTTTAGATTTTTATTGAACAGATTTTGTTTTGTTTGTCCGAAAACACGTTACGGTTTTTTTTTCATTACACCATTTAATGGTTCACTATTGACATATTGACAAGTTATTAACCTTATGTATTCCCTTCTTTTCCAGAGTGCAACATCCCAATCGAAAAACGCTGCGCGGTTCCTCCGTCTGGCGATGGCATCTATAATGGACATCCTCAAAATTAAACCTTTCGTAGAAGTATCAGTAGGACAACTCCTCTGGGGCTATGATGATCCGCTTCTAAAGCTAGCAAGGGACGTCGTGCCGAAGGACCAGACGCTACCGTATAATGAATTTGGATTGTTTTATGGGGTACGTTAAACCGTTTCTACAATGGTTTAGGTACATGTGTGTTCGGCATTGCGCAATTAAGCAATGTAAAATTGCAACTACTACCTCCATCATCATAATAGTCTACGAGGAATCACTTCCTGAACTGACCTTCTCCAATTTGTTCCGTCTATTGCAGTCTCATCAACATCCAGTCTCGTCTAATGTTTTTACATCTATATAATCTATTTACTAGTAAAAAACTTGTGTAGTTATTTTAAAAAGCAATCAGCTGTCGTCTCATACGGATATAGCAGGGATGGGTCAGAATAATCAGCTAGATTAAAAGGTTTCTATCCTCATTCTCCATCATCCTCATTCATCCTGGACTAAAAATTATAAATAATAAGCATACACAGTGTGTGCGTTATTATCTTCTTCCATTACCGCCCTACTTTCATGCTCCTGTATTACACATAATTGGATGCACGAACGGAGCCTCCTCGTAAGGACGTATTCACTTTCTCTGTAGGTTTTCCCTTCCCGGTAGCCTGGGCAACATTCGGTAAGAACCTTAAGTCAATTGGCAAATCCTCTCACCATGATGGCAAACATGTTCCATAGATCTGGGTTGCAAGTCTATGCCACCGATACAATAAGAAAGACCCACAATTAATGTAAAAATGTCTTGTTCTTTTCCAGAAAAACGCCACCTCCCCAGACGTAGTAACGATGTTCACGGGAGTCAGGGACATGGCCGAGTACGGGATCATCGAAAGGTACAACATGCGGGACAAACTTCCCCACTGGACGACCGATCAGTGCAACAGTATCGCGGGATCAGACGGGTCTATATTCCCGCCTCATATCACTCGAAATGATACGCTGTCCGTTTACGATAAGGATCTTTGTCGGTTGCTGCCTTTGAAGTAAGTTTTATATTTAATTTTTGCGCAATATACATCTTTCTATGTCTGTCTTCCAAAACAGATAAAACACTTGACTATCAACCATATATGTATCTTATTATTCAGTGTAAAGGTAAAAAAAATTAAGGACATAAAATACTGCCTTGCTGGACACTTACCAAAAAATACATGATCCCAGTTCAAGAATTTTAGGAAACCTGTTTTTTTCTTGATAAGTGTTAAAACGAGGCTATTGTATTTTTTGTAATTTTATATGTAGTCAATTTCTACCAATAAAGCGGCACAACAGATAAGTGACGCGATAGTAGGACTGTTGAAAGCTTTTTAAAGAACAATCAGCCTTATGAGACCTAAGCTTTATTACGTACATACAATTCACGTTCTTTTTCCGTCGGGGTAGAAAGGTAGGGTCTCTACTCCGATGGAAATACCCTAGGGTCACACAGTCACTGGCTGTGTGTCTCAATCGTAGCAAGTAGAAGGCTCTGATCTCTCTGATTTGTCACATGTAGTAAATATGCTATTTGAAGAAACATTAACCTTCAGGAGCCTACTAACTTTTTGGTATATCATAATAAGTTTAACGCTTATTTGAGAACGCTTGCCAGCTGAGTAGATGGCTCGATTTTGGTTTCTAGCAGGGAAGCCTGACCACTGAATACATTCAAATTATGTACAGTTTAGTTATGCAAGATCTATCTGCGATTGGTAAACGAGCCTGTCATCATGTAATACAAACTTCGCTTCTTATAAACTGGGTCCAAGTACCTCAGCGTTACTGTTTACCAATACAATACGGGAAGAAGACAATGGGTTCACATGTTATGCAACCCGAGTTGACAGAAAGCGCGCTTGTTTAGTCTCGCCGGGTGTCACACCGGAGATTACAAATGCTACATGTTAACACACTGTGTAAATTGATTGGCTTTATGTCCGTTGGAAAGGTTGGCGATTTTTATCGGAAAACAAATTCATTCTGATTTATTTCGAACGACGAAATGTGGCGGTAGTGCAGTCTTCCACTTTTCTTGTACTTCATATTTCGTAAGTCACACGTTGTAAAGGTAAACCTGCACTTTGGGGGTACATTAAAAGTCTTCGAAATCTAGGGTAATTTCTTTACTCTACCTAGGGATATCATTGGAACGTCTATACATTGATACAATGTACCTATATATACTAAAAAAGTGGTATTGCTTTGTACCATGTACTGGGGGCCCACCACAACCTCACAAAACAATATTACTTTAACCTTGCATTGACTTTTCGTACCATAACGGGCTTAAAGTAAGCTTATTGTAATGTTAAAACTATGATGTTTCATTGGCAGCTTTGTGACTATTCATTCACTCAGTTCGTACTATGACGTGAATTTGACATTAAAGTAATATTGCTCTAATGTCAAATTTAAATCTTAAAATAGTCACACGGATGCAATGGAAGCAATATTATTTTCAGTTTTATTCTCTTAATATTGATTGTTTATTTCGTAAAATTATAACAGCGCCATCTATGTGCTCCTTGGCGAAACTAACAGTTGACACTAGACTATAGTTCCGAATTCACAACGTGACTATCAAGACTCAGCTTGTTTTATTTATTTTTCTTCATGAAAATGCGGAATAATTATTGAAAACAACGTAATTTTAATGGATTTTTTTATTACATACTTTTATTTTTTTAACGGTCAAAATTCTCTGAATGTAAATAACATTAAGTACTTAAACATTATCGACGATAAGACAATTCGGAACATCAAAAAAGAAAGAGATGGCATTATATAGTTCACATAGCGTTATCTCTTTCCTATTTTTAGTAAGGAATAGACAATATTGGGTAATCATTCGTTCTTTCAGTCACTTTTGTAATAATACATTGCTTGGTTGACAGGTTCGTCATGGCACGAATATGAGTAATATTTATAACAAGCGTACCTTTTTAACCTTACATTATTGAAATAAGATTGTTTTCGGAAAGGTATGGTACGCCCCCTGAACTACTGATCAGCAAGGGTAATCTTTGCCTCCTTCCAGAAATTTTTCCCCCTCGACTGCATAGAGAAGTAGTTTGTTCGTGAACAGAACTAATGGTATTTAAAAAATCCCAATAGTTCTGCCGACAGAACTATTCAACGGAACCGGTGGGAATTATTTTGTGAACAGAACTAATGGTAAAATAAATTCCAGTAGTTCTGCCAACAGAACTACTCAACAGAACAGGTGGGAATATCTGAGATTGAAGCAGGGTGTAAAGCATAGTCTTATAAATCACAGAACTAATGGTAAAAAAATCCCAATAGTTCTGCCGACAGAACTACTCAACAGAACAGGTGGGAATAGAGGCTCGTGACTACGCTCGTTTAGTCAAGTCTCTCCCGCTTCGAACATATGTAATGTCAGTCACAATCTTTTGTTTTCAAGTTTGAAAACTTCTTATTCACACAATTAATTTATTTTTACGCTAGTATTATTCCTGCAGCAAGCATTATCTATTTTTACGCTCATCAAGTGACGAGACGTATATCTCGTAAACGACTGTCGCTTATATAAGATTTAGCAAGGAATCTAATGGGCAATGCCATTGCACCTATCACCCTGAGACAAAGTGGACGAGTCTTACGTACCTGTCGTTTCTTCAGCACCCTTCATGGCAACTCCGTGGCTCTCGAAGCCTTGCACACCGGTTTTCATGGTATCGCCATCTCTGAGGTTCCGGGTTCTTTGTGTCGGGTCTGGTCGTTTGTGGTAGGTACCGCCGTTGTTTCCGATTTCCATAACACAAGTACTTTATTTGTTTTTTTGGGATCAGAGCGACGTATTGTTGATGTGATGTTGTCTAATATTTATTTATTATTTTATTAGACCTGACATCATGTCCTTTTTAACCGACTTTTAAAAAGAAGGAGGTTCTTAATTAGATTATATTTATTGGTTGTGAGTATGTTACGAATTACTCCGGCATTTGTGAACTGATTTTGATGATTCTTTTTTTTTTCTTGAAAAGAGAAGAAAATATTCCGCCTCTAATGGTGGCAAACTAGGGTATGAATTCGGTTTCACGCACTTTCCGGTAACCGATTTCAATAAAAGCTGTCAAATAGATTCAATTCCACGAACTTTTGAGGTTGGTTTTTTGTATAAAAACGTTTCAAGGAGGCAAGGGGAGAGATTTTTTTTACGTAGCTCGACATTACGGGAACAGATCACGTCATTATCGATGTGACGGTGTAACAAGCAGCCGAAACAATATAAGCATTGTCCCACGCGGTGCATTGTTGGAAACACGTTCACTTTTGTTGTGTTTTGGTATGATCGAGGCATGGGTAGCTGGTTGATATCGCATACATCAGTTTTGCGTAGCAAATTATTCTCGAAATCTTTATCAAATTCACGTAGGTGAACCTACCTATTTCAGCTACCTACGGTAATAAGAACTGAAAAATAATAACTTCTAGTTAGACTAGTATCAATTAATTATGAATAAACTACTTTACCTAAATTGTTTATATACCTATACAATACTTTTAAGTGGACTCTACTCCGCAATTTTTTTTTCGCTCTTACACACACACACACACACACACACACACACACACACACACACACACA